AAGGGTTATGTAGCAGTGAGAAACATAGTAGATCCCTTAACTTTAATTTCCAGATGTTCTAATATGGGACTTTGGCTTTTTTGTTGGGGGTTTTTTAAGGTGTAGAATTTTTAGTAAAGGAAACAGTAAAGTGGCTCTGGTCTCTAACTTCTTGTATCAAAATGAATGTGCAGCTGAACTGGTAACCATGCCTGTTAGCCATCCTGACTATGAAAATATAAGCTATAAATGTTTTTGTATGAAACATATCTTAATGCAAGTTTTCTGTTACCTAGCTGTCGATATTAAGCATGTAAGCATAGGGACAAGACTTGTCTGTGGTTATTGTGAATGAAATCTTTCTTTTAAAAGTCAGTGGATCTATGATCTGAATTCTTGCATCTTATGTTAAAAAAATTGCTCCTATGTTATGGTACCCAAGGAAAATTTAAGACATAGAAGATTATACTAAAATGCCAGTACCATTTTTGTTTGTTTCTGTTTAGGTTCAGACATCTTTATCAACAGTAAAGAAAATGGAATGTGGTGTCGTGGAACTATCACTGACCTGATTCCAGTGGAAAGTAAAAATGAGGGAAAGCTTTGTGGTTCAGCAAAATACAAAGTTTGTGAAATTGCAGTAATGAAAGTATTCATGATAGATTTTGGAAATTCTGAAGTTTTCATTGTTTCAAGGTATGAGCATAATGTTTACACTGTTTTTACATTTAAAAAACAAAACAAAAAACCCAAGGAGAGAGTCTCTTGTCCTAAACCTCAGTATATCAGCTATTTGTTTGTAGTACTCATCCCACTTTGGAAAAAAGACACTCCTGATAACTGTGTGAAAAGGTAGGGTTGTTGTACACATTTGGCTATTACTGTATGCATTGCATATGCATGCACTTAACTGTTTTGTGTGCATTTTTGGAATAGTTGTGTGTGAAAATAAATTAATATACATGATATAGTTTACGTGAGCTATATATGATATACAGTATGAATGCTTGAAGTAGCAGACCTAGGATGGTCTGTGACTGACCAAAATGCACTGTCACTGTTGCTAGTTGTTATGGCAAGTATCACAATAATTGAGCTTATCTTCATCAACAGTTGAGTCACAATTCAGAAGGTCTTGGAAATGTTTTTTCCAGTGAGCACAGATGGATTTGCTGTCTTTCAGGAGTGTTGTTCCATCCTTTTGAACTTAGAGGCTTAAGGCCTTGAGTGCTAGGGCTGTAGGCAGATCTGGTAGCACTGAAGAAGCCACGAGTGTCACGGATGTCAGCAAAATGTTGTATTTCTTTTGATTTCTGAATCCACCACTCATTCTTCAGT